GATAGTTTGTAAAAGCGGAATTATTTTTGTAGGCCCAGATTTTCAGCTTATGTATTGCTCAAGGAAGACTTCTGACTTGATGCCACACTTTTGTCATGTCATGACTTCTGACATGATTCCAAAATGGTCCTTAAAGTAAAAATAAAATCTTTGGTTGATTGGCTTGAACCTCCATAAATACATGTCATATATATATTGGGGGCTTAACTTCAGAGCCAAATAGAAAGTGGAGATAGCTTGCTTCAAATCCTGCCATATGAAAACTCCCTGGTTGATATTAACACATCATTCTGTCATTCATAGTCCTCTGAGTAGCATTATATTGATGTAACTGATATTTGCCATTCAGACACCAATGTCTATGATATTTGCCATTCTATCTATATCCATGTATCTTTACATTGCACTTAAGACCCCTCTATGTCTCTAAATGAGACATTCAGTAGGGCAGGCATGTCAAACTCGCGACGTCACGTGACGTCGCGCAACGTATTGAGCCTGTTTTGCCATTGCCAGCAATGGGGTGGGCGTGGCTTCCACATGATGTGTCCAGCCCACAGGCTGGCTGTTTGACACCCCTGCAGTAGGGAATAAGAAACTATATTTCAAAGCCATTTTCTTTCCAGTAATAGAATTAATAGACTTGAGACTTTCTAGCTTTTGAAACAAAGGGAAAGTAAATTGGCCTTGAGAACTTTAAGATAGATTACTTTGTACAAAGATGAGTAAGAACTACAAGAGATAATGACAATATACGAACTTGGGAACCATTACATTGGAGGTAGAGATGGAATTGTGAACCAAAGAGTGGGTGCTTACTTATACAAATGCCCACCTAGAAATTTTTAAGAAGACTAAAGGCAGTCATAGCTGACTTGGATCAACTTACTGTAACTTCCTTCCATTCTGTTCACAAACCTGGTTTGAAGCAGCCAATAAATACATGCCTTATAACTGTTAAAGTCAACTCATGTGTAATCTGAAGCCAGATTTTTTTATTATTATTATTGAACCTCCAAAGCCACTAGGAACATACTATTGATGCAGCCACATCCCTGGGTTGGGCAAGACTACAATTTTTGATGGATTGCAGGGGGTGGGGGTGGGAATCTCATGAATTTGCACAAAGTAGATGCTTTGAGGGTGACATTAGGCGAACTTTTCTGTCTCCATCTCAGGAAAATGGTCATGGCGAACCATTCCTGAAAATTGTATCAAGAAAATTGCACAAACTTATCTGCCAACCACCACAAGACTAGACAAAGGCACTATCTAATATAGAGAAGATCCTAGTTGCCTGTTACACAGATTTTTTTTTCCTACGCATGTCATATCATCTTCAACATTTTGAGATTTATCAATCAGTCTTGTAAACTTCTGATTTACCGGTATTCCATTGGAACTTATTTAGGACAAGATTCCAGTCAAGTGCAATCTTCATATATGACTGAAACTGATCATGGATCAGTTTGATCCATGTAGTTTATCACAATAATACTCTCTCTCTGGTTTTTGGAAATGAAAAAAAAATCTGGTAACATATCCATCACTCATCAAAGTGACTTCTTGCTGAAAATAATGGGTATGTTATCAACTGTTCCCAATCTTGTTCTCAAAAATGAGAGTCAAAAAATGGCAGGTAGACCTTTTACAAATAGCAATTATTTTTTAATATTAGCAGATTTCAAAACTTCTTAAAAACAAATGTATATCACTAAAGTGCAAGTAGAAAGCAGTTAAATTAAATGCATACCTGCTTCTACTTAATGCAGAACAGCAGTTGTTACCTGCAAATAGCACATGTGGATCACTCATTGACCTTAAGGACTAGCATAACACTTAAATATAACATAGCGCAAAATATACATGTACAGAGATAATATCCTCAGGACTGTTTTCTGAAAATCGTCAGATGCTCATATACTTTCCAGGACTATAAAGAAAATGCATAATATGATATAGAGCAGTGTTTCTTGATCTCAGCCCCTCTAAGATTTATCACTAAGAAATTCTGGGAGTTGAAGTCCACACAAATTAACATTGCTAACTTGAGAATCACTGATACAGAAGACAGAATTTTAAAACTATGTGGTGGCTTAGGGTTATTACTAGTATCCTCTCTCAGATTAGAGGTCCTATGTATGTTACTCAAACTCTACTGAACTAGTGAATTAAGTTTTGGCTTACTCCTACAAAAATATACGTATACATAAGATTACAGCTATATTACACAACAAATAACCATTCAAATACCCTTTGGAGGTTCTCATCAGAAGGATATTTGGATGGTTATTTATTTTGTATTGTAGCTGCAATCTTTTGTGTGTGTGTGTGTATGTGCATGCGTCCGCATGCCCACCCTTCCAGCCAGGTTCAGTAATGAGAAAAGAACATCTTTGACATTGGCCAGGATACCAGTTTCAGGAATGGAGGAAATGTCTATATTGGCTTTGAGCCTCCCATCTCAAATTATCCTCTTGGTGGGGATATTTTGCAGTGAAATTCTAATTGCATTTGGCTGTGCATGATTTAGCTGCTTTGTGCTATCACAAACCCTGCCTTGCCAATCATTCATACAATGATAACAGCATTTTTTTTAAAAAAAAGACCTTTCCTATCAGGAGAGGGACTGTGAAGTAGTAGTCATAATAATAGTTTTATTTCATATGTGCTAAATCTAAGGCATTAATTTACAATAGAGTAAAAAGAACATAAAGTATAACAAGATGGGACACTATTCTGAAGTGGAAAAGGTAGAATATATTCCTATCCCTCTATTGCACATTTAGGGTATATCAGTGCTTAAAGAGGTGTCTGTTTATCTGTATCTCAACCTTGCATCCAAGAAGGTAGGAAAGATTACACAGAGTTATTCAATTTGATCCTTGCTCTGAGCTAGGCTGGATAAAGAGGTAGTGATGTGGCCAAGGTCATCTAAGGTGCTATTGTGACTAAAATGTAATTTAAACTTTGCTTTCACTGGTCTAGGTTCAGTGCTAATCAACTCTCCTGACCAGGTGTTCATGGGGACATAATATATTGAATAACACTGTGGTGGGAATAGGAGACTTTCTCTGAACAATATCAGCATTGGGTCTTCTCAGTGCTCCTTGTACCACAATCTCTCCTCCTCCTCCCCCTCCTCCTCCTGCTCCTCTCTCTAGAGCTAGTTTTAATACTTAGTGATGGGCTGGGCCAGTCCCTGCAGTTTTCTTAGCAAGTGGTTTGCCATTGCTTCCGTCCTAGGGCTGAGAGAGAGTGATTGGTGCAAGGTCTCTCAACTAGCCTTGTATTTAAGATGGGACCAGAACTCACAGTCTTCCAACAGTCTCTCACTTGATGCCTTATCCACTATACCAGACTTGCTCTGCTCTTACCTCTACTTCAAACCAGAAATGTCATCAAACCGTATTACAGGGTTTTTTTAATTAATTAATCACTTGGCTAGTTCTTCAGGGTCAATATCAATTCTTTCTGGACAAGCAATTTTCCAAACACAGAGTTCAAAGCACCCTGTCCATTTTTTTTTACAAGCCCATTTTAATGTTTTGCTCCTGTCTGCTAGGTTGAGCCATTATAATTGATATACATAACAGCGAACCTAAGATTCAGATATTTCAGAGTGCAAAATTGTAATGTTATTAATGGAAATGGGAAATGGCTTCCTGATAAGGATGCATAGTTTCAGTTTAATTAAATAATGCATTAAACAATATCTCAACAAACTACAGAGTATCATTTAAACAACAGAATGTGCTATAGTAACATGGCAATAAAAATAAATGCATAATCTCAAATTGAAACACATCAGGCTAGTTTACAGTTATAACAGTTGATCTGTGAATGAGATGGGTGGTTTCTAAATTTAATATATAAATAAGTAAAATATGGAGACAGAAACTAAAAACAGGTCAGATAAAAGAGTCAAAACTCAGATGCATATGTTGAGATATTTTAAATGCTTAGAGAATCAGGAGAGTAGTAGCCTGATAAACACTGTACATTCTGATGAACTAGGGAGCCACCACTAAAGAAGGCCATTTCTTTTATCATGGGGGGGGGAATGTCACAGAATGAGAGAATCATGGAAACCAGGCATATGTTTGAAACTATAGTGGAAGCCATTTCAAATCCACATTTTACTTTTAATCCAGAGAAAGTATGTTAAACTCAGCACTGATCATCTTTAAAATGCCTATCTGTTGTTGATATAGGACAGTTTGTTGGTGCACTGGACAATTGTGAGTGCAAGTTTTCATTCAACTGAACCCCAACTGTGTAAAACCTTGGATGATCTTGAAAAAGTTAAGCTGGGTTATCCAATTCTTCCTTGGATGGGAGACTACAGTACTGGGAAACCTTTGAGATATAGACCCAACAGCACATACACCAGAAGAAGGTAATGGGAAACAAATATTCCCCATTGTTTCCAAGAAAAGAATCTAAACGTGCCCATGTAATCCCTAGAAGTGGTGCCCGATTTGAAGGCTGCTCTGCTTTCACCCACAGCCATTCCCAGGAGCAAGTCATTCCCTTTCACGTGTTTTCTTTGACTGAATTCAACCAATGCTTGGAAATACTTAATTTGAACAAGGTGGAACACATTTCCCAGCAAGGACGGCGATAATGCCTGGAAAATATTCTGAACCCATCTATGGAGACCTCATACAGCCGGGGGGGGGGGGTGTTCTACCAGGAAAAAGGAAAACGCGAGTGTTCTTTGCCTCGTCCCGGGACTGTTTTTCTCTCGGCGCCCGTTTCGTGGAAACAACCCCCCCCCTGCCGCCGCCGGGTCTCCTGAGTCTCCTCTCCACTTACACGCGTCCGTGGCCCCTGCAATTCTCCCATCCCTGTGCCTTTAGATCCTAGTCCAGCCGCAGCTATTGGGGTCGTGGGGAAAAACAATCCCGGGGAAAGTCTAACGTTCTCACTTTCTTGGGCAGAAGTGGAAGTTCATCTGCCCGGGACTCCCCACGCCAGCCCTCCGCTGCTGGGCTTACCTTTCCCCCAACCCGGCTCGGTCCGCAGCCGACCAGCCTTCCTCTCCGCTCCCCCGCCTGCGTGTGCGTGTGTATGTGCGAGATGAGTGGCGCCGGAGGGGTGCAATTACCCGGATTCTGACACGAGCGGCGTCCGCGTCAGTTTCAGCCTCCTACCTACGTGCCCGATTCTGTTGTCTGGAGCCCGTCTCCCCTCTCGGCCCCACCGCGCACCCCCGTTTCAGTCTGCGCTCCAAAGCGCTTTCCCACTGTAAGGACCAGCGCTCTTCTCTTGGATGGGAAGCTGCGTGGGATTTGCCTAATTTGCCCGGGAGGAATAATAATAATAATAACAGGGTTAGGAAGGAGGTGCAGCTTTGCCCCCACCACCGCCGTCTCCAGCGACTTAGAGCTTCAGCTTTGGGGAAGTGATTCGCGGGACGCCGCTCAGGATCGCTGCGTAAAATTTGGGAGATCTTTATCCATCTTTGTTGGCTGGATTCTCCTCCGCGTTGCCACGTCCATCGTTCAGAGGAATATTTAAAAAAAAAAAAAAAAAAAAAACCACTCCGCACACTCAAGCTCTGCCACACACGCGTGCGCGTGCACGCACACAGACACACACGCTGGACTGCGGCAAAAGGGGAGAGAGAGAGAGAAAGAAAAAAAAAACCCAACAACGCACCACTCAGCCGCCTCGCTACACATTACAGTTGTGCCGCAACCGGAGCGGCTGAAGTAGCCTCGGCGTGGATTGTTTTGTTTTCCCCTGCCTTCTTTTGGCTTCTTTCTGCCCGCCGCAGAACAAGCGCTGGAGATCGGCGAGGATTTGGTTCTGTACCCGAAGCTGCGTTTCTGTGTCTTGGCAATTGGTGTCCGTCCGTGTCTTGTCTTGTGTGGCTTCTTGACTTTCCATCCGTGTCGTGTGTTGTTCCCCTCTGCATCGCTGTCCCTTAAAAAAAAAAGGGGGGGGGAGATTGAGAAGGCAAAATGGCCCATATTGTGTCCCTATTAGCAAATGCTTGTTGTCTGCGGGAGGGGTGAAAGGAAACTGTGTTGGGGGGGCATACTTTGGGGAAATAAATGTGGCTTGGAGGAGATATTTAGGAGCAGGAGGAAAGATGAAATATTTTTCACGCCCATACCAGTTGGAAGGAGACGCCCTTTGGGGTGCTTTCTTATTCTTGTTTTGGCTACTATTGTTAGCATTATTACTATTTGTTGGGAGTGGCTAGTGATCGATTAAAACTGTCACGGTTGCAATGGGAGGGTCTGAGTCATAAATTTTATCACCACCACCACCACTACCACCACCACCACCACAAAATCACTGTGACCTCTGTGCGACCCCCACCCAGTCCAAGTCACGTATCGCCATTGGGGCTGAACCTGGAGAAGGGCAAGGATGGCTGATACAGCTGAGCCCACCAGCTTCTCTCCTACCTCTCGGGTTTAAAAGAGAGGCCACTTTTACCAGGATGCTGAAAAAAGGGAATCAAATGATCATTTTCGTAACTGTAGCAATTGCTTCCAGAGGCCCCCCCCCCCTTGCAGGAAAGATGTCAAAAAAATATCACCATCCCTTTTCTTTAAGAATAATTATATTTATTTTATTCATCATTATTTCATATTGATTTACCACCTGTCTCTCCCGGACAGTTATAGGTAGAATGAGATGTGTATTGGGGAAGGAAGTGATGGTTTAAAATACTCTCCATTACAAAAGAGAAAGGGAAAAATCTCTGATAAAGCCTATAGGTTGCAGAAAGGCACAGTCTAATGTGTGGTGGCAGGAATTGGCAAAGTATTGTTCTACTTTTCTGTCAATTTCCGATGCATCCTCCAGGGAAGGACCAACTACACGTTCCCCTGCACTTACAGGTTAGAAAAGTTGTAGACTTACTGTAGAGTTACCTCCCAAATCTAAATGATTTGTAAGTAATGGGGGCAAAAAGGGTATTCAAATGACATTCCCTTCCACACCGACCCTGTACTCTGCAACAACTGGAAAATGAAAAGTTCATTGGTTGTTTGAATGCAGAATTTGTCCTTGAAGTAAAGTGCTGTGTGTGAGACTTGAAAAATGGCTTTTCAAGGTTCATTAAAAATAGAAAGAAAGAGTCAGTCAAAGCCAAAAGAGGTATTTTGTTTTTAAACTGCTTGGTTATTTAAAGTACTAGTTAGGACAAAGCACTTTTGGGGTATAAGCCAATGTCAGTCTGCCAAATACAGTTAATATGCACAGAGTTAATTTGTGATTATTTAATTATCTATCTAGCCCAGTCCTAAACCAGCTGCATCAGCAGTTAAACACTTAAAATGGGATGAAATAATAGCAGAATGACAGTGTGGGCTTCTGCCAGTGATTTACAGATGCAGCATAGTTAAAAATTGGGGTGTTTGGGGAATTTGCTCTTTTTAAAAATTAAGTAAGTTGAAGCCTTCAATTTGAACAGGGAGATTTGCTTTAGCTAAAAAAATATTTACCGGTATTAAATATTCTAACAAAAAAGATGTTTCATGCCAAACTTTATACTGTGGTTGTCAGTTTGACAACTACTTCCATTTGCAAAAGAGGGATAGTGGGATGGTAAACCCATTCCACGAGTAGCTGTTTTCCTTCTATTTTCCTTCCTTCATTTTTTCTATCCACAGTGAATATATATTAAGGAAAATGGGGTGAAAATATTTGCATAGTGTTTTTTGAACACCAAGATCTTTCTGTCTGGAAGTACTCAGCATGCAATTATGATATGCAACACAGTTGTTCTATTGTAGGCCAACCGGAGCAGCTATAACAATTGTTTAAAGACTGAAATTCAGAATAATGTTCAGCTTGAATTTAGGCCTGGTCCCTACCAAGTACATTCTGTGGAATTCTGTGAAGATGTCTATGGAGTGGATATACTCAGATATATAGGGTGATATTAAGAGTTCAGGAATTAACAGCTTGTACTGATTGACTTAAATAGATGTAAAGTCTACTGATATTGATAGGCTTTACTTCCGAATAACTCTTCTTGGGAACATAATCCAAAATATAATTTACTTGTAAATTACTTGTAAAGTTTCTTATTCACTTTTCTATAGAACTTTGTAATATTTTGTAAAATACGAATAAATACTGTGTTTAAAATAAATAATATAAATTCAGAACAAAATAAGTCAAACAATTAATACTACCTGTGGGAAAGTTGTAAAGGCTCTAACTAGACATATTTCTAGGCAAGTATGGAGTTAAAACATTAAAAATATTTTAAATATTTACAATTCTTTTGACACTGTTAGTTTAAAGTTTAAAACTTTTCCAGTTTTACAGTCCCCATTATCTGAAAAAAGTTTTTTTCCTCTTTTCCATGTGTTAAAATCTCTAATGTATATGGATTATTTATAAAGTCTAGTGTAGGAATCTGTGTTCCAACAATAAAAAATATGAACCCAAAGCTAAATCTTTGGTATTTTGTACATAAATCCATATTTTAGATAGTATATTGCTGTTACTTACAAAGACCTCATTCAGCATTTAGTGTTGAAATTTATTTAGTGACAGGCATTAGATACATATGAAGCAGAAATAAAATGAGTTACCAGTTCCTTTAATCCTTTAATAAAGTCAACGGAAAGTGAAAAAGTTGGCCCATGCCATTAAGTTCATTGTTTTCTTTTGTTTTCTTTTCATTTATTTGTATTGAATTCAGTGTGGGTGAAAAAATGTATGGATGAAAAGTAATCACCCAGTGGGAAAAATATTCTTCGGACTTCATCATACTAACCTCAGACACATGGATGTCCCAGTGGAAAGGGCCTTGCTTCAAATAAATAAATAAATAAATAAATAAATAAATAAATAAATAGGTAAATAGGTAACTAAGTCTATAAGCCAGAGGTCCCCCATGCCTGTGCAAACAAGTGAAACTCAATTTGCAGGATGCAGGCAGCACACAAAACCACGCCCCCTACAGTCCACAAAAAAACTCTCTCCATGGAACTGGTCCCTGGTGCCCAAAAGTTTGGGGGGGGGGGCTGCTGCTATAAGCAACAGCTGCAGAAAACACGGTATTACTGCCTGGAAACATTTATAAAAGTGATGGAATACCTAGGTAATCATAGTTTCAAGAGACCCAAATTGCTGTTCATAATTGCTCTTACAGTTCAGATGATCTTGCTCGGTTCAGTTGATTAATCAGAAGCCATCTTTTATAAATCCTTTGTTTACTGAATTTTAATTTCAACAGAGTTGAGCAAGTGAACTCTCAAGTCTGGCTAATAATAATGATTTTATTAGGTTTAGTTGTCACTTGACTCCCATCAAATCTGGGTGGTTAACAAATTACTAAGAACATTCAAAACAAGAAAACGACACAAAACAAAAAGATGGTAAAAGTAACAAACCCAAATGGGGACAATGAAAAATAAATGACATGATAGTGAAACAACCACATCAGCCCTTCAATTAACTATTGAAATGCGGGGGGAGTAAGACATATTAATGCTCTATTGCAAATTTTGATAACTCTATTTTTTCTACATGCATATATTTTTATTGCTTGCTGCCTTGTTTATTCAGATTTATATGGACTACATGTTGGAATAGGTTTTATATTCTCCGACCTCCTATTTATAGTTTTTTCTATCAACTGGACTGCAATCTTTTCTGAAAGAAAGTGCAATTAAACTTAACAATACGGCTTATTTTTGAGCATAAATGAACAGGATTTTGTTCTTAAGAGTTATATGCTGTTTTTAATGGAATATTGGATAAACATAATATTTAACGTTGATACCACTACATTTAGATAGTTTTATCTTTAGTGTTATAATGTAGATAAATTCTATGTTTGTATTGCTGAAGCTGAGAGATTTATAACTATGCTATCAGCATTGATCTCCTTTTAAGAGGGACAGTCCTGATTAAATACCCCACAGTTTTAAGTGTGCAGTGAAAGGCTTCATTGATTATTTGTACCAATAATTGATAAATGTTCTTAGTATAAGCAATAATTAGCTTTTAGTGCTAATTATTTATAACTTGACACAATATAAAATTATTGATTTGGAAGGCAAGACCTATCGGTAGTACTAAAATATGAAGACCCAAATTTCTAAGTGCAGATGAATAATAAATAGTAAATTACCATTGGCCTAGTAGACAATCACTTGAGGGTGATTTCTAAAGTCAAGGATAGTGTTAGATGTTGAGCTGAATCAAGGGCATCAGTTATGCTCAGAATAGGCCCACTGAAATCTGTGAGATTTAATTTAGCAACAAAGCATTTATGTCTCCCTGGTTTTAATACATCTGCCTCCAAGCAAGCCTAAATCCAATCTATTTTTTTTTAAAAAAAAAATACTACTAAAGAAAGATCATTTATATATTATGCATTGATGGCAGAATTTGCTGGAGAGTGATTACATGTATATTACTGTTTTGTATCTTTAATTACATATACAGATTTCTTAGTTTCCTTTCTTTTGAAGCTAACAGCTAAGCCATAGCTGTCCAACCTTTTGGGTTGCCTGGGCCACATTGACTGAAGAGGAATTTCCTTGGACCACATGTAGAAGATATAATATAGTTATTGTATATATAGTGCATTGACAAAGTATTCAAATACTTTCAAATCTAAATGTCATTTCAAATCCAAAAGCTTTGGGGTCTGAAAAGATTAGATTCAATTAGTACCCTTGCTTAATTAGAAGCACTTTTACAGTAATAACAATCTGGGGAAAAAATTTCTGGATCAATTATTTGAAATTTAGTTCCACATTTCATTCTGAAAGAGAAGTGAGCCTTACTAAATTGCCTTCATATAGTTCTCTCAAATGTTATATACAGTAAATAAGAAACTTCCTTTTTTATATATAAATCTTGTGGGGCCACATCACCAGTGCCCAGGGCCGCATATGTACACCTGTGGCCTGTGGGTTGGACATGCCTGCTCTAAGTATTCATTTTAAATTCAGTTTTCACTTTCAAATTAATTTGACCTT